GATCTTGGCTCACTGCAAACTCCGTTTCCTGGGTTCACACCATTCTTCTGCCTCAGCTCTCCGAGTAGCTGGGACTACAGGTGCCCGCCACCACACCCAGCTAATTATTTTTATTTTTTAGTAGAGACAGGGTATCACCATGTTAACTAGGATGGTCTTGATCTTCTGACCTCGTGATCTGCCCGCCTCGGCCTCCCAAAGTGCTGGGCTTACAGGCCTAAGCCACTGCGCCCGGCCTAGGCTTTTCTTTTACTTGCTTTCTATCAGTGCTTCTGAAATTACTTGTGGAGAAGGTATAGTTTTTATTTTGTTATAAATTTGTCACAGCCTAACACTTTTATAAAACATGAATTAGTAGCAAAGTGAAATTTAAAATACACAAATAAAAGTCCATTTTAAAAATTGTTAAGAGTCATCAAACATAAAATTATTTTGTCAAATTGCTATAAAAGTATCTCAGCACTTTCAATTGCGTGCTTATCCATCATAGACCAGTAATAGAGAGTATGTGGACTGGCCCACTTTGACTCATGTCCTCCTTCCTGTCCTGCGAAGCTTTAGTGATGAACAACGTCATTTCTAAACCCCTGAAGGGCACCGTGAACATTGTGCCTTTTGTTTTGTTTTGTTTTGTTTTAAGACGGAGTCTCTGTCACCGAGGCTGGAGTGCAGTGATGTGATCTCAGCTCACTGTAATCTCCGCCTCTCAAGTTGAAGCGATTCTTGTGCTCAGCCTCCTGAGTAGCTGGGAATACAGGCACATGCCCAGCTAATTTTTGTATTTTTAGTAGAGACGGGGTTTCACCATGTTGGCCAGGCTGTCTTGAACTTCTAACCTCAGGTGATCAGCCTGCCTCGGCCTCCCAAACTGCTGGATTACAGGCATGAGTCACCATGCCTGGCCAACATCGCACCTCTTGACTTGACCCTTAAGATGTGGATGGAGGCTGGGCGTGGTGGCTCATGCCTGTAATCCCAGCACGTTGAGAGGTTGAGGCAGGCAGATCACCTGAGGTCAGGAGTTCAAGACCAGCTTGGCCAACATGGTAAAACCCTATCTCTCCAAAAATAAAAAAAGAAAATACAAAAATTAGCCAGGTGTCGGGGCACACGCCTATAATACCAGCTATTCAGGAGACTGAGGCTTGAGAATTGCTTGAAACCTGGGAGACGGAGGTTGCAGTGAGCCGAGATTGTCCCATTGCATCCAGCCTGGGTGACAGAGTGAGACTTCGTCTAAAAAAAAAAAGATGTGGATGGAAACTAAAGAAATTTGGAAAATACGCTTCATAAGACCATGATCTGTCTTCCAAGTCTATTCTTATATTGCAACTCCCATTTTTGAACACCAGAAATTGAACATTACTTTTCTTTTTGCATTTTTACTATAATAAATTTTAATATACTCACAGCAGATGGATGTCTTGGGTGGAGTAACTATGAAGGTAATGAGCTCAGAAAGGCAGAAGAGAAAAACCCACTTACAAATTTCAGAGTCTTATCCTTGTTATGCTAATGTGTAACACTCATGAAGAATGAAAAAAACACTCAGTTTTGTTAGTAAATCTTAATTTTTGCAGTTATATTTTATTGCCTCAGTAAGAGCTAACATTCCTTTCTTCTTAGATATGCTAATTACCCTGGTCTGATCACTATACATTATATGTATTGAAATAATCACTATGTACTTCACGAATATGTACAATTATTATTTGTCAATTAAAAATTAAGGCTGAGCATGGTGACTCATGCCTTTAATCCCAGAACTTCAGGAAATTGGGGCTGGAGGATCACTGGAGGCCAGGAAGATCACTGGAGACCAGCCTGGGCAACATAGCAAGACCTCATCTCTAAAAAAAAAAAATTAGCTGGATGTGGTGGTGCACACCTATAGTCCTAGCTACTTGGGAGGCTGAGATAGGTGAGAGGATTACTTGAGCCCAGGAGCTTGAGCTTACAGTGAGCTATGATCACGCCATTGCACTCTAGTCTAGGTTACAGAGTGAGACGCTATCTCTAAAAAAATTTTTTAAACAAAAAAATCCCCACATTATTTTCTTCTCAAATAGAGCCCCAGCTGTCATCTACTCATTTTCTCTTTCTGTGACTAAGGAAGTAAATGTTAAGAAAATGTCACTGGATGGCTTGAGCCCAGGAGTTTGAGGCTGTGATTGTGCCACTGCACTTCAGCCTGGGTGACAGAGCGAGACCTTGTTTCCAAAAAAAGAAAATAATTATCATCAGCATACTTAATGGTCAGGTGTAAATGCAATAAGGTGTTTTCAATTTCTTTTTCTACAGGAATTACAATTAAAAACAGGACAGGAAGAAGGTCTAAAACCAAAAGCTGAGGATCTCGATGCATGTAACTTGAAAAGGAGAAAAGGTTCGTTTGGAAGTATAGACCGACTCCAGGTTTGTCAATTCTATTTAGTGTTTCCTCGTTTCTCTTCAATCTGATGGTTGTCTAAATAGAGGTAAACTTACTCCTGTAATCCTAGCACTTTGGGACGCCAAGGTGGGTGGATCACCTGAGGTCAGGAGTTCGAGACCAGCCTGCTCAACATGGTAAAACCCCGTCTCTACTAAAAATACAAAAATTAGCTGGGCTTAGTGGCGGGTGCCTGTAATCCCAGCTACTTGGGAGGCTGAGGCAGGAGAATCGCTTGAACCCTGGAGGTGGAGGCTGCAGTGAGCCGAGACCACGCCACTGCACTCCAGCCTGGGCAACAAAACCAAAACCCCTCTCAACAAATAGATAGATAGATAGATGTAAAAACTGGTGGACTCTGAATAAAACCTTCAAACACTAGATGCCACCCGAATGCAAAATTTCTAGTATTTGTTTTGAAACTTTATTATTTTTATTTTCTTGAATTTTAGATTCAGGGATACATGTTCAGGTTTGTTATATGGGTATATTGTGTGATGCTAAGATTTGGGCTTCTAATAATCCTATTGCCCAAGTAGTGAAACTTTTATTATTACAAGATTGTTTTCTCATCCAGAAATGTACTGTATTTTTGTTTTATCTTACTCTCAGCAGAATCAATATATTCTTATTTCAGTAGAAATGAGTTTATTTGAATGTTGTAGAATATAAACATGAAATCTGTGTTCACTGGATTGTATTTATTCCCATCTCATGAAGATGAGTATATTTCTTTTTTTTTTTTTTGAGACTTAGTCTCGCTCTGTCACTCAGGCTAGAGTGCAGTGGCGTGATCTCAGCTCACTGCAAGCTCCACCTCCTGTGTTCACACCATTCTCCTGCCTCAGCCTCCTGAGTCTGGGGACTACAGGCGCCCACCACCATGTCCAGCTAATTTTTTGTATTTTTAGTAGAGATGGGGTTTCACTGTGTTAGCCAGGATTGTCTTCATCTCCTGACCTTGTGATCCACCTGCCTTGGCCTCCCAAAGTGCTGGGATTACAGGTGTGAGCCACTGCACCCGGCCAAAGACGAGTATATTTCTAAAAATCAGAACTCTACATTCAAAGAAAGCCAAATTGTATATGTACTCTATATATTAAAAAGCCATTATTTTAGTGCCATCTTTTAAAAAGAAAGTCATAATCCACAAACTCATTTTGAAGTTCAAAGAAATTGAAATTTTAAATTTTCTGTAAGAAAAAAATACTGTATTTAAAATACCCAGAATGCAATTATCTCTACCTTTAAATTTATTCTCTCTTCATAAATTTTATATTACATTTTATTAGTGACATTTAATAGTGACATGCGTGCATTCTGACATGGGTGTGTACCCATTCCACCCAGAAATGTCATCACCAGTCGTAATTTTTTAGGTTTTTTACTTTTAAGTGGAGCTTAAAAAGAATCTCTTATTCATCTTTCAAACCCCACTCACAGTTTAAGAATGTTTGTAGAATATATTTAAGTTACTTGCTAGACTTCCTAGGATCTCCTACTGGATTATTTAAGGATATGACAAAACTAACATTTTTATAGTTGCTCTTTCTGTTCCTAATAATTGTAGAGCTACTATGACATTTTAGGCTCCAGTGTTATCTGGACATGATAGTGCTTATAAGATCATACTGTTAATATCTTGGTAATATTGGAAGACTCAATAGCTATGCATCTTCTTTGCCTTGGCCATTTTGCTCTCTTTTTTAAATATATATTCACTGTCTCATTGTATTATAGATTTCTAGGAACCGTTTCTAGAAGGTTCATGAAGGACTAGGAAATAATACTATATTGATTTCTTTTCCTATTTATTTATTGTTTTGGTGGCAGTGCTTCATTACTGTGTCCACTTGATAGAGTTCCTTTTAAACAGTCATATTCCATCTATATTTATGTTTGTATTTGTTTCTGGGTATCCTTAATTCAAGAGAGTAGATGTTTGTTTTGGAGATCTTTTCAGCAATTTTTTATTTTTGTTTTTTCTTTTTTTAAAAATAATTATTTGAGGTTGACAAGCTACAATGCAAATTGGGTTTCCTTCCAAACTCCATCATCTGTATCTCCCACTGTGTGTATTCATTTATTCACTTCATTGATTGACTGAATCAGGCATTGATTCACTCATTCATTTAACATTTTACTGAATGCCTACTGTGGCCCAGGCAATATGCCAGCCATGTGGATAGACAGTTAAAAACTACAGCCCCTGCAGTCAATCAAGGTGCTCAAGTTGGGGAGACAGATAAGTAGAGCAACCACCAGTGTAAGTGCTGTGATGGAAATATGCACCACTACAACAGAGTAAAAGACTCCAGCATGTTCTTAATATAGGCATAGACAATTATCAGTCCCTTACTTGTCAGGCTAAAAAATCCTAGACTGTTTAACATATCTGGGGAGTAAATTTTAATTCTTTATAAAACAACATAGCTACATCTTGACTAGAACCACTGATGTCTTTAGGATTTCAGATGGGAACCTGAGTCACTCTGAGTGATAGTTTTTAAATGTTCATTTAAGAGATTTCAGCCAATCTGAAATTATATTGTTACCATGTAATTTTTATGGCAGAAGGAAAAACAAGTAACTTTTTTTTGAATTTTAATGTAGAAATTGGATGAGCAAAAGAAATGGTTAGATGAAGAAGTAGAGAAAGTTCTGAACCAACGCCAAGAATTAGAGGAGCTGGAAGAAGACTTAAAGAAACGGGAGGCCATAGTTTCTAAGAAGGAGGCTCTATTACAGGAGAAGAGTCACCTGGAAAATAAGAAATTGAGATCTAGTCAGGTATTCTGTTTAATACACTATTTGATTCTGGTTGTAAACCACTCTACACTCCCCACTGGGATGACTATAATCAGAAAAACAGATAGTAAGAAATGTGGGGAAGGAGGTGGGGAAATTGGGACCTTCATACACTGCTGTGAAATTGGAAAATGGTGCAATTGCTTTGGATAACCATCTTGTAGTTCCTCAGAAGGCTAAACTTAGAGATACTATGTGACCCAGTAATCTCACTCCTAGGGATGGATGGATAGATAGATCTATTTCTATATGTATGTCTCCATGAGAAATGAAAGCATGTTTCCACACAAAAACTTGAACATGAACATTTATAGTAACATTATTCATGATAGCTAAAAACTGAAAACAACACAAATGTTCATCAAGTGATGAATGGATAAACTGATTATCTATACAATAGCATATTATTTGACAATAGAAGGGAATGAAGTACTGATATATGCTGCAACATGGATGAACCTTGAAAACCTATGTTAAGTGAAAGAAACTAGTCACAAAAGACCACCTTTGTATAATACCATTTATGTGAAGTCTCTAGAATAGGCAATTCCATTTCTGTCCAGAGACAAAAAAGTAGAATAGTGGTTACCTAGGGTTGGTGGGGGACTGGGGAGGAAATAGAATGCCTACTAATAGGTGTGGGGTTTCTTTTTTTGGGGGGGTGATGAAAATGTAAAATTGATTGTGGTGATGGTTATATAACTGTGAATATACAAAAAACCATTGAATTATATACTTTATTGTTATTTTTTATTTTTTGAGATGGAGTCTCGCTCTGTCGCCCAGGCTAGAGTGCAGTGGCGCGATCTCTGCTCACCGCAACCTCTGCCTCCCGGTTCAAGAGATTCTTCTGCCTCAGCCTCCCAAGTAGCTGGGATTACAGACGCGTGCCACTACACCCAGCTAATTTTTGTATTTTTAGTAGAGAGGGGTTTCACCATGTTGGTCAGGTTGGTCTCAAACTCCTGACCTTGTGATCAGCCCGTCTTGGCCTCCCAAAGTGCTGGGATTACAGGCGTGAGCCACCATGCCCAGATTTGAATTATATACTTTAAATTGGTGAATTGTAGGGTATGTAGATTATATCTCATTAAAGCTATTATGTTTTTTGAAAAGCCATAAAAAGGAAAAGACAGTAGAGGAGATAACAGAGGACAAAAGATTACCAAAAAAAGAAAAGATGGAAAGCAAATAGATGAGAGCTTATTAACTTAGCAGAACAGAAGATGCTGCAGTCCAAGTACCTAAAGGGACACAAATGAGAACCAGGCCAAGATCCTACATATATGCTGTCACCATACATCTTATCAGCTTTTTAATATCTGACTCTGAAATGTGATGGGCATTTTAGGAATGCTTTAGATGTTTTCCTTTTAAAAAAAATAACAGCTTTAGAGAGATAAAATTCATATAGAACATCAAAAAGATTCAGAAATGAAGGGACCAAGATTTTCAGAAGGCAGGAGTAGCATAAAGATGAAAACAAGGCATAGTCATGAAATTATTTTTTCTCACTCTGGGACCGATTTATTTTCCGAAGATTGAACCAGGCACTGCAAAGGTTGTGATAAGTCAAAAAACTCCAAATAGGGAATGAATGCAAGTCTGCATATGAATTGTGAAACATCTATTTCCTAATCTCTACTTGGATCCAAGAATGCTGGCCCAGATTTATACTTCCTAGCAGGAGATTAGCATATTTTCTGAAACATCTGAAAAGATATAAAAACACTTAAATTTGGAAGCCGCCAACTAAGTGGCCCACATGTATGCTATCACCACAAATCTTAGCAGCTTTTTGATACCTGAATCTGAAATATGATGGACATTTCAGGAATGCCACTATTAAAGACAGAAAACAAAACAAAAGGAAAAAATAAACTCACAGACATTAGAGATAGAGCAAGAAGCGGAAAAAACTTCACAGAAATCTTAATATCCTCAGTGTGGCAAAAGATGACTATAAAGAACTGCAAGTTGTTAAAAACATGAACTCTTGGAAATTAAAAGCGTTGGAGGATAGGCAGGGTGCGGTGGCTCATGGCTGTAATCCCAGCACTTTGGGAGGCCAAGGTGGGTGGATCACTGGAGGTCAGGAGTTCGACACCAGCCTGACCAACATGGTGAAACCCTGTCTCTTCTAAAAATACAAAAATTAGCCAGGCGTGGTTGTGGGCACCTGTAATCCCAGGTACTTGGGAGGTGAGGCAGAAGAATCGCTTGAACCTGAGAGGCAGAGGTTGTAATGAGCCAAGACCGTGCCATTGCACTCCAGTCTGGGCAACAAGAGCAAAACTCCATCTCAAAAAATAGGGTCAGAGGATAAAGTTGAGGAAATATCCCCAAAAGTAAGTAAAAATATAATAGAAAGTAGGAGAGAAAAAAATTTAATTGGCAGATAAATCCAGGAAGCCCAAGATCCAAGTAATGGGAATTCCAGAAAGATACAACAGAGAAAACAGAAGAGATTATCAAAGACATCATATAAAAAATTTTCTTGGCCAGGCACGGTGGCTCACGCCTGTAATCCCAGCACTTTGGGAGGCCGAGGTGGGCAGATCACGAGGTCAGGAGATGGAGACCATCCTGGCTAACACGGTGAAACCCTGTCTCTACTAAAAATACAAAAAAATTAGCCAGGCGTCGTGGCAGGCGCCTGTAGTCCCAGCTACTCGGGAGGCTGAGGCAGGAGAATGGCGTGAATCTGGGAGGCGGAGCTTGCAGTGAGCTGAGATCACGCCACTGCACTCTAACCTGGGTGACAGAGCGAGACTCCATCTCAAAAAAAAAAAAAATTTTTTTTCTCAACACCAGTAATATGAGACTCTAGACTGAAATAGCCCATCAAGGGCCCAGCAAAATGAGTACCCAAAACATAGCATTGTGAAGGTTTGGATACACTGAGGAAAAAAGAAGGTCTTGAAAGCATCTAGACAAAAAAGACTACTTATAAATTGCAAGAATCAGAATGGCATTGGACTTCTCAGCTTTCCTCATGACAAGTTTAAGATCTGAAGCAATCTTTAAACTCATGAGGAAAATTAAGTCTAATAAATAATTTTCTTCTTAGCCAAACTGTCAATCAAATGTGAAGCTATAATAAGCATTTTCAGGTATAAAAAACAAAAACAAAAATCTCCCATTAAGCCTGTCCAAGGAAACTACTAGAGAATGTGCTCCACAAAAATAATGGCACAAACTATGAAAAAGGAAGACTCGGGATTCTGAAAATGTGCTGCAACATGGAAATTCTCAGGAAATACCAAAGGGAGGACCCAGGACAACTGGCCCAGGGTGGAGCAGGATGGACGCTCCAGGCAAAATGTTTCCAGAAAAGAATTGATTGAAAAGATTTCCTGATAAGTTTGATCAAATGAAAAAGTGTTGAGGAATTTTATAGTTCTGTTGGAGAAGAATTAGCTATAAGGTGCAATAAAAAGTTGTATCAAAACAGAAGCATGATCATTTCACACTAGATAGTTCACCTATGAATAACAAAGTTATAATAATGAAAATGAATATTGATTGAACTAAAAACTGTAATGTAACTTATATTGGGAGAATGGAGGAGATTGGGAAGTAGAGTAGCTATAAGAGTGCTAAATCCTTATCTCCCATAATACACAGTCAATAGACAATGTCTAAAATTGATAATGTCATTCAGAAACATAGACATAAACACCAGAAGAACCAACTGAAAAGGTTGAAGGTGGCTGTCTGGGAGTAGGATTCAGTTAAAAGCTTGGGGGAGGGGAATGCTTTTTAAAATTATAAACCTTATGATAGTATGTGTCTATATAATAAACCTTATGGTAGTATATGCAGATAATTACTGTGAAAAATATTTTACAAATTATCTGAAATTTGACCATAATGAACATCTCCATAAATCTGGCCATATTTTCTGATCAGAATGAATTAAGAGTAAAAACAAATTATATGTTTAAGCCAACCAATCATATGTTTAAACACACCAAAGCTCAACCCCTAGTAAATTGTAACATAATTCTACAATGTAGAATGTGAGCCAAGAAAGAAAAGTTCAGTTTAGAAAATAAGAAAAAAGAAAAATACTGCCTCTGAAAACCTAGTCAAGGCAATTCTTGGTAGTAAACTCAGAGTTTAAATAAACGTTTTTTTAAAAAAGGCATTCAACTTAAGATTTTAGAAAATGAACACCCCAGGTGGGCGCGGTGTCTCACGTCTGTAATCTCAGAACTTTGGGGGCTGAGGCAGGTGGATTACCTGAGGTCAGGAGTTCAAGACCAGCCTGGCCAACATGGTAAAACCCTGTCTCTACTGAAAATACAAAAAATTAACTGTGCGAGGTGGCAAGCACCTGTAATCCCAGCAACTCGGGAGGCCGAAGCAGGAGAATCGCTTGAACCTGGGAAGCGGAGATTGCAGTCAGCTGAGGTCGCACCATTGCACTCTACCCTAGGGAATAAGAGCAAAACTCCATCTCAAAAACAAAAAAAAGAAAATGAATACCCCCTCCCTCAATAATGTAAAAACTAAAAATATATTCATTTAGCAATTTTCTCTCTGTTTTTCCTAATTTTTATGCAGTCTAGATTTCTAGTAACTGTTTTTGGTGTCTGGTGGGTTGTATCTTTTAGGCCTTAAACACAGATAGTTTGAAAATATCAACTCGCCTGAACTTATTGGAACAAGAGTTGTCTGAAAAGAATGTGCAGCTCCAGACCAGCACAGCTGAGGAGAAAATAAAGATTTCAGAACAAGTTGAAGTCCTCCAGAAAGAAAAGGATCAGCTCCAGAAACGAAGAAACAGTGTGGATGAAAAACTTAAAAATGGCCGAGTGTTATCACCCGAAGTAAGTCAGTATTCTTTGGAACTGGAGGTGCTGTATGATGGATCACTTGAGTGATTTCCTCAGTCTTTTTCACATAATCATAAATATTATCCGTTAAACTTGGTTTTGAGATTTTGTCAGATGTAGTGAATTCACCTGGCACTTATTTGGCACCATAAACCATGCTTGACTAGAGACTGAGATATCCTTACATAGTGGTCCATGGACATGGCCCCTTCCTGGCACTGCCAGGCATTTGGAAACTATTACTCTCCTTGAGTATATTTGCCTCCTCAGCTGGGGTTTCTCGTCTGAAATCACAGAACATAGAAACTGATTTGAGGGACTCTTTTGGAGGGCACCTGACTTTTCTCTATACATATTTCGTGAATGATACTAGGTAATTTATTACATACAGCAGATGCCTAAGGAATTAGGGGTTAATTCTTTCCATGAAACCTTGGTTGAGAAGGCCCAGTGTCCATACTATGTCCAGCCAAATAGATGCATAAAATTCCAATCCCAGTAAAAGACCTTTTAATTACAGTTACAGTTTTTTAAAACTATAGTTTTAGTTCTAGTTTTTTAAAACTATGTAGAAGATGATTCATTTACAGGCTGTCAAATTGCCCCAGACTTTGTCTTTTTTCAAAATTTTCAGTCAGTTGGCAGTGGTACCTGTACCTTACTTCATCAGAGAAAGATGAATTTTTGAATCGGAACTGCCTCCCCAGGTATTTATTGTTGGTGTCTTATCATTACCAAAGCAAGGGAAAGTTGCTCAGAGAAGGTGAATAGCTGAGAATCATACACATTGGTGAATCTTGTAGTGTTTTAGTTTGGAGCAAGTGACAGGAAGTTAAGGGGGCTAGTTAAGAAATAGGAGCAAGGATAACGTTAGATTGTTGCTCATTGAGAATTGATGAAAGGATTGATTTACAAATCAATCCTTGACTGGGGGCTAAGTGGCAGTTGAAAGGAACATTACAGACCTCTATTGTCCTGTTTTATAATTTAAGCTGGGTAAATGTGCAGAGGAACAGAGAGCCAGGTTGTCCTCCCAAGGTGTTCTCAAATTGGAGTCCAAGGCTTATAGATTTGAAGACATGAGAGCCTAAGATACAGCAGAATTCAAATATTTAAGGAATTCTGCCTGCCTGTGACTATAACTAAGCTCTATAGAAGAACCAAAAAAAAAACAACAACAACAACAACAAAAAAAAAAACCAAAAAAAATCAAAGTATTATGTTTCCCTTGAGAAATTAATATTCTATTTGGGAAAACAGGTAAAAATATAAGAAAACTCTAAACTCTGAAGGACATTGAAAATCAAGTTGTGGATAATGTATTTACAGCTATACCTCTTACATTATTTATTCAAAGCAATGAAGTGATCATTTGGGGGAAGATTCATCAAGGCAGCCTCAGTAGATCAGAATCTTGAGCTAGATTATGAAAAACATGATATGCAGTGGCAGATATGAGAAGTCCGTTTTAGATAGAACATCTTTGAATAAGGCACAGAGATGAGAATTAACAAATTATGTTTGCAGTAGGGTAGAGTTCCATTAATATCAAGAAACATTTAGGTTTCTATTTCATGTGGGATCCTGTAACAAAAAACATTTACAGATTTGTGGTGAAAATATAGTATGATGCATGATACCTATTTTGCAGCTATTCTGGACTGGGGTTTGAGGGAAGGATGAGCCTCCTACAACTGGTAGAGTTCTAATTAGTCACATGAGAAAGTCACCTTTCTTCCACATGGTTGGTTCTTCTTAGTGTAGCTCTCAAGTGAGGCTCTGCTCTTACCACAATTTTAAAGCCAAGGTTAATATTCCCAAATAGATCTGTCACTAGCAGATGATCAAAAGCATGAGATTCTGATGTGACACAAGGTATCAATAAAATCTAGTTGGAATGGTTTGCTATCTTAATGTCTTTAAACTTGTTTAGGATTATTTTCTCTTTCCACAGTAAATTAAAATATTTTTCCTAATTTTATTACTTTATGGAAATTGATAGATTTTAGATCATTACACTAATAGAAGATTACTCAACAATTTACTACAGACAAGTCACACTGCTCTTTTTTTTTTTTTTGGTAAAATTCAGAAACTAAAGAATACTTGAACCTTAGGTTTCTAATAATACAGAGTAGTTGCTTAGTAAGTAGGGAGGAAAATATAAGAACTATTATCTTTATTTAATCTTTTAAACTTTCAATTTCACATTTTATGAGAACATACAATTTTTTTTTGGAAATGGAGTCTCTGTCGCTCAGGCTGAAGTGTAGTGGTGCGATCTCAGCTCACTGCCTCTGCCTCCTGGGTTCAAGCAATTCTCCTGCCTCAGCCTCCCGAGTAGCTGGGATTATAGACGTGTGCCACCATGCCCAGCTAATTTTTTTTTTTTTTTTTTCCGAGACAGAGTCTTGCTCTGTCACCAGGCTAGAGTGCAGTGGCATGATCCCAGCTCATTGCAACCTCCACCTCCCTGGTTCAAGCGATTCCCCTGTTGCAATCTCCCAAGTAGCTGGGATTACAGGCACGTGCCATCACGCCTGGCTAATTTTTTGTATTTTAGTAGAGATGGGGTTTCATCACGTTGACCAAGATGGTCTCGATCTCCTGACCTCGTGATCCGCCCACCTTGGCCTCCCAAAGTGCTAGGATTACAGGTGTGAGCCACCGCGCCCAGCCTAATTTTTGTATTTTTAGTAGAGACGAGGTTTTGCTATGTTGGTCAGGCTGGTCTCGAACTCCTGACCTCAAGTGATCCACCCGCCTCAGCCTCCCAAAGTGCTGGGTTTACAGGCATGAGCCACCGCACCCTGCTAAGAACATATAATTTATAGAGAAATCTATGCAGTGCTTGCTTAAAAGTTATCATTAGTTTTTTGTTTCATTTTACTTGGTCTCTGGACCAGCAGCAACAGCATCACTTGGGATCTTGTTTGAAATGCAGATCCTCAGGCCCCAGTTGGACTTGCTGGATCAGAATCTGAATTCTAGTGAGCTCCTCAGTACACATTAAAGTTGAAAAGCAGTGCTCGATCATAAAACAGTCAACTCTTGATAACCTGTGGTTTGTATTGTGACAAATTTTTCATCCCAGGATAGTTTGCCATTGCCACGTATCTTGTCAACCTATACCTACTGCTGAGTTAGAGGGAACTACAAACATTGATATGCTGCATCCTCACTGGAGCGGGCTGTCCTTGGGTTTCTATATTCATACTACCTTATATTATCTCAGTACTTCCTGAACTTAGATCCAAAACCATAGAAACTGAATTTATATGAAATTGTCCTCAGCCACGTATAAAGGCAAACTCTTCACATTTGTTTTTGATAAAATATAGTCACAGTATGAATTCAAAAGTCAAGTACAGTAAAGTCCTCACTGAACATTGTGGATAGGTTCTTGGAAATTGTGACTTTAAGAGACACCATGTACATCAGGTCCTCAAATTACATTGTTTTCCTTCAACATAGTTGCTTTTGTTATGAAGTTAATAGGAAAACAAAATTGTTGTATTATATATTGTTTCTCTTAAAGTCACAGTTTCCAAGAACCTATTGATGATAAGGACTTACTCTATTTTGGATAATTCACTTTTATTTGTGGCTCCTCTTACTTGTTCACCTAAGTACATTTTAGTATTTAAGGGTTTTTTTTCTTGAAAAGGTGAATATTATTTTATTCCTTATGAAGCAGTGATCAAACTATCAAATTCCATATGGTTAGTGATTGCACAGAGAAAAAGAATGGCTGATGAGCATTTTTCTTTAGGTAGATCAGAAATATTCACACTCTTGGCCAGGCATGGTGGCTCACACCTATAATCCCATCACGTTGGGAGGCTGAGGCAGGCAGATCACCTGAAGTCAGGAGTTCCAAGACCAGCCTGGCCAATGTGGCGAAACCCCTTCTCAACTAAAAATACAAAAATTAGCTAGGCGTGATGGCATGCACCTATAATCCCAGCTACTTGGGAGGCTGAGGCAGGAGAATTGCTTAAATCCTTAAACCCAAGAGGTGGAGGTTGCAGTGAGCTGAGATCCCACCACGACCCTGTCTCAGAAAGAAAAAAAAAAAAAGAAAGAAAGAAATATTCACATTATTTTCCTTTGGGGTGTTAGGGGGAGGAGTGGAGAGAAATAACATGGGTCCTGTAACCAAGGACACATGAAAAATTTTTTTCTCCTCTTTCTTAAGTTAACAGATACTGAGTTCAAACTATATGATAGGTACTGTGCTGGGCAATAAGGGTGTGCAGATGGACAAGTCAGTCTGCCACAGGAACTTATTGAGGTGGCCTCCACAATAGGTATAGGTATATGGAAACATACATCCAAGTCTCACCAATCTGAGGTAATTCCTTGCCAGAGATTTGTATCACCAACATAACATGTATTTGGATAGTTCAAAGAACTGGAAGAGCTGGGCATGGTAGTGTGTGCCTGTAGTCCCAGCTACTCAGGAGGGCAAGGTAGGAGGTTCGCTTGAGCCAAGAGTTTGAGTTCAGCCTGGGCAACATAGTGAGACCCTGTGTCCAAAAAAAAAAGAAAAGAAAAAAACTTGTAGGTTTTCCGACAGGGATTCATCGATCTTCTCTGGTATGTGAAAAAATACTACGCTGCCCTATTTTATAACGCCTACATTTTCCTTCTAATAACATTTCATAGGAATCTTATGAAATATGTCAGATACTTAAATCCTCACTACTTTTTAATGCCATATTGTGCTTTTTTTTATTACTAGTTCTTAATAACTTATTCTAAATATTTAGAGTAAGTTATTCTCTCTAGGCAGTATATTGTTTTGATAGATCATTGAAGGGACAACAGTAAATCTCTGGATCTCACTAGTGGAAATATTGACACATAATATGCACTTTAGGGATTATGGAGGAGATACACGACAATACTGCTAATGCTGTGGGCTTAGGCTTTGTTCAAGGATATTCCTTGGATTAGATGATCAGCATTTGTTGTATGACCTTGGAACATTTCAGAACTCACCTAAACTTCTGTCTTTTCCATTTCATTCCATCAGGTTTATTGTGAGGGCTTAATGATTATGTTAATATGTTGTGTGTGTGTGTGTGTGTGTATGTGTGTGTATACACACATGTATACACACACTGCATTATGTGGTATAGCAAGCACTCAAAAAACATTTTCTTAAAATCTAGTAAAAGAGTGGTAATGTCCATTAGACTCAAATAGTTTAGTAGGATCTGAGTATATGACAAAGTCAAAGTTATACTATTTCATTTAAAATGAGTGATTTCTGTTATATCTAGGAAGAACATGTTCTTTACCAACTTGAAGAAGGGATTGAAGCTTTGGAAGCTGCAATTGAATATAAGAATGAAAGTATCCAGCATCGCCAGAACTCACTTAGAGCATCATTCCATAACCTCTCTCGTAGTGAAGCAAATGTCTTGGAACAAATAGCTTGCCTGAGTCCTGTTGAGATTAGAGCTATTCTTTTCAGATATTTCAATAAGGTTTGTTTTTGAGGGTCAGAATATTTTTCTTATAAAGATTGGTCAAGATGCTTACATCCTACATTTTGAATTTTTAAAGAAATTGAAAGACTCAAAGATTTGATGGTGTAACTACAAATTTAAGCATGATTTCTCTTTATAGAACTAAATGTTGTCATCTGAAAGCTTTGTGATTATCCAAATATGTAGGCCTAACTTTGTGAGGTTCTTAAAGTTAGAGGGTCTTTCAAAAGAAGTCCTTTTTGAAAGTTTTTAAAACCAAAGAATTTAAGTTATATTCCTTGCTCATTATTTCTTGGATGATTTCTAGATTTGGATGTTGCTACCTGGCACTCATGAAAAATCAAAGGCCCTCCAAGTTTTGATTCCCTTTCCTTCATTGCTATAGGGTAGAGGAATCTGTACTTTCTTGTAATGTATTAGTTGAAATGAAGATGAAGTGGTGTATCAGTGGCAAAGATAATAATAGATTTTATTAACCTGAATGTGCCTAAATCAATTAAAATGTTGTATTTTTTACAGATTAAACCATTTTCTAATCCAGAGATGTTTCATAGCATTGAGAACTATATCCATCTTTTCTCTAATGTCTTTTCCACTTAAGATACATATTATGAAGTGTTAAACAATGAGATAACCCTTTCTCTGAAAAGTACATTCAATTTATGGGAATATCTGACAATTAATGAAAAATGAAACACTGATATTTTAAAATTAAGTCCTAAGGCCGGGCGCAGTGGCTCATGCCTGTAATCCCAGCACTTTGGGAGGCTGAGTCAAGAGAATCATTTGAGCCCAGAATTTGAGATCCTGTCTCTACAAAAAATACCAGAATTAGCCGGGTGTGGTAGCATACACTTGTAGTCCTAGATAGTTGGGAGGCTGAGGCAGGAGGATCACATGAGCCCAGGAATTTGAGTTTGTAGTGAGCTATGATCATTACTGCACTTCAGCCTGGCGCAGCAGAGCAACAGCCTGTCTCAAAAAAATTAAATAAAATTATAATTCTGTAAAATAAGGAAGAAAAATGAAAAATGTTATGCACAGCCTCCTCTTGGATAATCATCATCAGTAGTAAGCTGCTGTTACTGTTATTGATGAGAGTGCATCCTATTGTTGCATGTTTGGAGGGTAGAAAGATGGTGGAGTCCTTTGATGTAGATAACTCTTTATGCTGCTCTTTTTTTTTCCCCCTGAGACGGAGTCTCACTCTGTTGTCCAGGCTGGTGTGATCTCGGCTCACTGCAACCTCCGCCCTCCGGGTTCAAGCAATTCTCCTGCCTCAGCCTCCTGAGTAGCTAGGATTACAGGCATGTGCTACCATGCCCGGCTAATGTTTGTATTTTTAGTAGAGATGGGGTTTCACCATGTTGGCCAGGCTGGTCTCAAACTCCTGACCTCGTGACCCTCCTGCCTCAGCCTCCCAAAGTGCTGGGATTACAGGTGTCAGCCACCCCACCTGGCCCTTGTGCTACTCTTAAAGCAAGGCAACCTGACTAAGGTCAGTGGATTTTCTGATCCTGGGAACCCTTGTATTAATGATTATTTTTCTGGAGAGGTCATTAGATTATTAACAAGTTCTGTGATGTAGACATTATCTGAAGTATTTTTACTTTACATCAGCAGGGAAGAATCCAATAGACAAAATGCATAACATGGCTGGGTGTGGTGGCTTTGGGACACTGAGGTAGGAGGATCCCAGTGCTTTGGGACACTGAGGCAGGAGGATCACTTGAGGCCAGGAATTCAAGACTAGCTTGGGCAACATAGTGAGACCCTGTCTCTATGAAAAAATTTTTTTAAAAAATTAGCCAGGCATGATGGCATGTACCTGTGCTCCCAGCTATGTGAGAGGCTGAGGTGGGAGGATCACTTGATCTCAGGAGTTGGAAGCTGCAGTGAACTACGATTACACCACTGCACTCCAACCTGAGGTGACAGAGTGAGACTCCCTCTTAACAACAACAACAACAAAACACCCAAACTGTCACTTATTTATAACATCCATTCTGGAGTTTAAACTTGGAATTGTCTAGATGTTTCAAGAATCTTTACCCTCTCACTATCCACTTAGACTAGAGAAATAAAGTTACAGAATTATTAAATATAAACCACATAGATTACATTTAAGAAATTATGGAAGGGTGATTATTAGAGCAACAGTACATTAAAAATGAAAGGGTTGGCCGGGCGCGGTGGCTCACGCCTGTAATCCCAACACTTTGGGAGGCTGAGGCGGGTGGATTACAAGGCCAGGAGATTGAGACTATCCTGGCTAACACAGTGAAACCCCATCTCTACTAAAAATACAAAAAATTAGCTGGG